CCACTCACTAAGCTACACAGCATAGGATGAGTTACTCTGGGCTACTCACGCACACCTTGATTGTTATCTTGGTTCACCATACTCCAAAGCCCACCTGTTTACCTCTGGTCCACCACTCCTCAAGTCCCTGCTAAAGCCCCAACTCAGGATGAGGAACACTGAAACAAAGGCCTAGGACGTTACTGGACAGCAATATTAGAGGGTATCTTATGTGAAAAGGTTAATAAAATTTATTTTTATTATACTAACCTATATAAAACTTGTTTTTATAGATTAAAAACAGTCTAATATGGTAACTTCATAGGATGTAACCTAAACCCCTTAGAGTTCATCCTGTGTTTCTCTTGATCAGGTTCTTGATCACATGCTCTTCTCCTGTGCTGCACGCTGCTGAGATAGGTGGCGCTGGCCTGTCTTCCTCCCACCTCTACCATTTTGAAAAGCAATCCGACAATGTTTTAAGAGTTCTTGATAGCTAACTTACAGAAATTGTCACACACACAATGCTACACACAGGAAGACACTTGTGGTATACTAGAAATGGTAAAATCAAATTGGTTTCACTGATCAACACCTAAGTGCACATATAGGAATAGTATGCACTGGGCGTCAGGCAGATGGGAGCGGGGAGGAGGGGATGGGTATATGCATACATAATGAGTGTGATGTGCACCACCTGGGGGATGGACACGCTTGAAACTCTGACTCAGAGGGAGTGGGGGGCAAGGGCAATATACATAACCTAAACATCTGTACCCCCATAATATGTTGCAATAAAAAAAAAAGCCTTTGTACCAATCACACTAAAGTTATTAATAAAGCAAAAAAAGAAAAAAAGAAAAAAAAAAACAAAAAACAAAAGAAATTCCATGGCAGGGAGTTATATGGGCAGATAGGTTGTTCAGTATGACTGGAAACGAGATGTATAGAGAATCTATAGAAGAAGTTGGAGTGGAAGCCAAAGTCCAGACACCGGATGATTTTATATCTCACTGGAAAGACTGGCATTTTATCTTGAATCTTGTAGATGGAAGAGAGCCACTGAACGCTAATCGGGAAAGCAGTATAACTGCGTTTTCATTTAGAATCACTTTGGTAGATAAAACCATTATTACCCTTATTATTGATACTCTCTTTTGTCATCCCTAGGAAAGGCTTTATCCCTGTCCATGTATTTAATAAAGTATAGTAGGAGAAGGCAAACAGTTAAATGCTTTTATCTAACTATAATAGGGACGAGGTTTTCAGGGACAATTGACATGAACTTTTCTGGATTGCTGGGTGATAGAAAATTCATTGGAGTCATTGGAGTGGTCTGTGGTCAAAGAGAGCAGAGGGTAATAGTGACCTAAGGAGGAGAATAAAGATACTTAGAATGTCAGAAGCTATAGGAATTTCTGACTTGCTTGGCACTTCTTAGTTTAAAAGAAGTTTAAAGATCTAGTAAGAAGTAAAGTCAAATGGAGAAGGGATTATAAATCCCAGGGTCATGGAATAGTAAAGCTATAATGGGCTATGTGTGTGATGTGTCTGGTGTTATATCATGGGAAGTTTGATATTGGAAAGTTAGGGTCGAAGCTGACTTCCCAGTAAAGCATTTCTACATGTGATGTACTTGTTCAAAGAGGGCCTGTAGTTTATACCATAAATAGCTTCCTGTAAAATATATGTGAATTTGGAGTTATCTTGGAGACTTCTTGAAAGAAGATTTGGTTCAGAAGATTTGGTGCTGAGCTTCTTGTCACGTGTACATAGGGTCAGGTAGGTCTCATCCACTCAGCAAAAGTACCAGGGCAAAGTTGGAATTTATAGAGAGATTTTCAATCTCTGTTAGTAGACAAAAAATAAAACGCAAACCTCCGGTGTTCCAACCACATAAAATACTACCGTTCATTTTCCAGCTTTTTCCCCTTAGCCTTATTGTAATCCTCAAGTTCGCTTTGTTGTTTTTGTCATGTCAGTTTTAGAAGTGGCTCGGTTACTTCTGGAGGAAAATTTTTCACCACTGAAGGCCAACTTGTTTACCTTTGCCCTGGTTCTATTTCTTAGGGTGGCATATAGTTTTATTCTTAGAATATGAGTATTTTTAGGAATGTATATGTGAATAAGTAAACCTTAAAGAATTTCTTCCACATTTCATGACTTGATAGAATGGTGCTTTTCTATTCTAGGGGCAGTTTGTCATCTGGATACAGTTTTGCCCATCAGGAGCCATTTGGCAACATCTGGAGATGTTTTTGATTGGGGTGGATGGGTAGTGCTACTGACATCTGGTAGACAGAGGTCAGGGATGCTGCTAAATATCCTACAATGCACAGGACAGTCCCCAAAGCAAAGAATTATCTGACCCCAAATGTTAATAGTGCCAAGCTTGGAAAATCCTACTCTAGGTATATGCTTCATTATTAACTAATAAAAATTATTTTCATTTCAGAGTTTTGAAGCACCATGTTCTTCAGGGTCATCTGAAAATATTCAAGACACAGATCAAGAGGTTACTGATATACTTATTTACTTTGAATATTTTAGATGAAATTAAGTCAAACAGTTCCTACTTTTAATAAAAAAAGACTATAAAACCCTGATAAGGTGAAAATAACAGTGATTTCTCTATTTAAATCAGTATATCAATATATGTTTTTATGAAGTAATCAAAAATACTTTGGAACAAGTATTTCTACTTACTCAATTACCTTTTTACTTATGTTTCTAATAAACTAATCTACTTTGAACAAAGAGCATGGAAGCTATAGCCCACAAGTTATCTCAGTTTTGATTTAATGTTATCACACTTTGGCATGTTTTTTATGCCTAGGGTTGCCAAAATGCAGTAGGACATTAACATGTTTTTACCTCATTTTTCTAATCAGGAATAAGATGAAAATATTATTCAATGAAAATGAGAGTTTTATGAGTGTTTTATCTTTTCCTAGCTTCATTTCCCAGCTAGAATCTCCTGATTGATCTTTATAGAATTTTATGTTCCCTGGTCCTAAATTAAAACTAGATGCACAGATCACTTTGTATTTTCCAACTTAAAGGAGACTTTTAAACTATATTAATTGATTTTTATTTGTAACAGTTGTATTTTTTTATCTTATGGGTCTGCATTCCTTGATAGATGAAAGATTTCCTCCTCTGCTCTAAAGGTAGATTATATTTTCATTTCTTGGCATCAAAATACATCAGGGAAGTATTTTCCCTGAAGTGAAAAGGATTTGATTTCAGTTTATGATGCTTCGTAAACAATCTTAGAAATCTCAAGAAGAATGCT